AAGCAGAGCACTAGCTAAAAGAAGCAAGAAATTTGCTAAAAGAAGCAGGGCACTAGCTAAAAGAAGCAAGAAATTATCTAAAAGAAGCAGAGCACTAGCTAAAAGAAGTAATGCATTAGCTAAAAGAAGCAGAGCACTAGCTAAAAGAAGCAAGAAATTAGCTCCAAGAAGCACAACACTAGCTAAAAGAAGCAAGACATTTGCTAAAAGAAGCTAGAAAATAGCTAGAAATGAAAACAATAAAAAAAGCCACTTAAAGCTTAAAAAAAGTAACACCCTAACTAAAAAATGCTAATGCTAGCTAAAAGCTATAAAAGTAGAAAAATTGTAGCTAAAAGCAGCAGTAGGATAGCTAAAGACTAAAAGTGGCAACAACTAAAACCTAAAGATAAATGTAGTAAAAGTTAAAGTTAAGTTAAAAGTAGCAAAAGCTAGCTAAAACCACTGAAAGGTTAGCTAGAAGCTAAAAGTATGAAAAGGCTGGCAAAATATACCAAAAGGCAAGAAAAGAATTAAAAGTAGCAGAAGGATAGTTAAAACCTAAAAGAAGTAGAAAAGTAGCAAAAACAAACAGAAAAAATCTGCTAAGGCAGATTTAAAAGAGAACAATAGTTTTAAAGGAAATAAAAATCTAACATATGTCATCTGAAATATGTATGTCTGTTTAGAAAATATTTGCGAATAAAGTGAAATATTTTGTAAAGTATGAAAGTTAAAAAGTCACAGCAGTCATCTTCTGAATGGGCGTTTCATATATTGGTCACTGAATACCGAGTCAGCTTCACACATAAAAATAAATAATAAAAACCCAGAGCAGACGTTCACGTCCTCACAGTTGTGCTTGCAGCTCCAGCACGATGGCCTCCAGCTCCTTCTTTTCCTGCTGACCCTGCACCGTCAGCTCCTCCACCTTGGCTCTCAGACGCTTGTTTTCTGTCTCAACGTTCTTCAGCTGCGACTCCCGCAGGCGCACCAGCTCCTCCAGATAACCCTGGATGACACGACGACAGCATGAAGGAAGACGGGACGGGACCAAACGGGACGTGAAGGTGAAGGGCAGTCACCTTCTGAGCGTAGACGATCTTGAACCTTTGCTCCATCTTGCGACACTTGTTGCTCCAGCTCTCCTCGTCGGTCACCAGCGGGATGTAAGGATGCTCAGGGATGCTCTCCTCGCTGTTACTGCTGTCCACGCTGCGGCGGTCCTCCTCGTCACTCAGGTAGTCGTAGCTACACGGCAGAAAGGTGGGAGCGTTACTGCACCAGACGTCCTACAGCAACGTGGACTGATCCGCCGGGTCAGTCTCACCTCTGAGTGAACTTCAGGTAGGGCGTGTAGTCGATCACAGCTGGAGATTTTCCGTCCAGGGTCTCACCCTTCAAACAAAAACTTTAGAACAAGATTTTTATGTCATGGTCTATTAGTCTACAAATAATTAATATTTCATAAGGTTTTAATTCATATTTATGTGAATGCGGAGTCTTCTGTTCGGCTCGTTATAGATTTGTTGCTACAGTTATGCTAATTTTAATAATTTAGCTTCTGCTCTGCTTGGTTTAAAGGCCACCTGAAGTCAATGGCGCTCAGTCCGATCAGCATGCCGGTCAGAACCGTGGCCTCCTCCCTCAGCATGATGGCTCCTTCATCGTAAAACCTCCTGTTTGGTAATCAAACGAGAAGAGACCATTCTGTGAACTTTCAGCTCATGTTACATTTCACAGGAACTCTGGAGGTCTAAGAGTCTTAGCTAACAGCAGAAGTGAACTCAGGCAGTGAAGAAAAGTTCTTTTGGATCACGGCGATCCAAAACCGCTTCAGTACACCCTTCAGTCAGACCTGGTTGTTCTTGTGTCCCTCAGGGCGGTGGACACGTATTCAGACAGGCGTTTCTCCATCAGTGCCACCCTGATCCACGCCCGACCCTGGAGGACCACAGAAGAAGTCAGCAGGAACAGAACACACTGTCAATGATCAAAGACTGTCCATAGAAACTCGCTCGCCTTGGCTCGTGACGTGCTGATGTTCTCTATGTTCTCGATGCTGGCGATGCAGTTGTTCTGCACCTTGCTGCACGCCAGCCGAATGTACTCCCAGAAGTTGCGCTGCCCATCGGAGCTGAACCAGCTTCCTGAACCTGTTCAGCAAACAAAACCGAGCAGAGGGTCGTTTCAAACTGCACGCTGAAAGCTAGGCCTGTCACGATAACTGATTTTGCTGGGCGATTAATTGTCTCAGACATTATTGCGATAAACGATAATATTGTTTGAAATTTGACAATAATTAGTCATTATTGTGAAATTTAAGAAGAAATGTTGATTTGTTTTGAGTGTAGTACCTTTTTTGACCACTGGATGGCAGTGTAAGACTGTTTGAACCGAAGGATGGATAGTGAGGGAGCGAGCAGCGTGTCTCTTTATGAAAAATGGGAGTGAGGCCCCTTGACGTGACATGGGCTGTCTCTCTTTCCTTTTTTCGGTTCTCAAAATGGCGGTCGCTCGGTGTGATTTGAGCTCTTTAGCATAGCATTTTCACACAAAGCTTTTAATTAAAAAAAAATCTGTAAACAAGTTCTCAGCTTCTTTTTGCAGAGAAAAACATTCTTTTAGATGAAGGCACGGGTTTCAACCGTGAATTTTGGAGCTTCGACAAGAACGAGGGTTTTTCCCTGAGATCGGCCTGTTAGCTTCTCAGCTTAGCTGCTTTTAACGATCCAAAAACATAATTTTGGACGGTTAAAACGGATTTTAAAGAGAAAAGAGAAAGGGAGAGGTCAGTGAAGAGCACCGGAGTCGAGCCTTTTGTCATTCAGTGTCTTAAGAGAGAGATGAAGAAACGATAAAGCCGATAAATGAGGTCGATAATTTTCATTTATCATGCTATTAATTGATTTATTGTTGATCGCGACAGGCCTAGTCATAGCAGACAATAAAAAGTATTACATAAAGGACTAGCATGCCTTGTAGGAATGCACCTGCTGCCTTTAAGGACAGAGTTTCAAACTAACGTTACCTTATAACGAGCAGCGAAAGATTTGCAGCCGTTTTGGTCAAACTTTGTAAACTTTGTGTTTCACATCCAATGATTCCGTTCAGCGAGATCGATCAAATCTGTCCAGCGGTTCTTGGGGTATTTGTTAACCCTGCATACGAAGCACACGCTGCCATGTTACCTGCTGTGTTACCTTTGAAGCGATGGCTGAGGATGTGCTCTAAAATAGCAGCAAGGTTTATAAACTCCTCCGAGGAATCATCTATCGGCTCTGCTGTGTATTTTTCCAGGAGAGTCTTCACGGAGAATCTGAAACAGAAGCACACAAACAAAGAGGGCTCAGAAAATCGGAACGCAGTGCGAGAAAAAACAAGGCACTTTGCGTTTTATTTTGAAAAGTTTCAGTAGGTTATGTGCAGCACATCCCATGCAGCTGTGTACTGTACCGTACCGATGCAGACAAATGTACTACTGTATTGAAACAACAGCAGAGAGGAGGTTTTTTTCCTTTATCTAAAGGGAACCACGCCATCTTATGGCACTGAGGTCACCCCAATTGTCTTGCGTGCAGCACAAAGCACCCCCTTCAGTGCTTTGGCTTTGTTATCATGACAACGACACAATTAACCCCCTGTCTGTTCAGTCTCGCTGTGCTTCCAGGTCCTTTTGGATCTCGTCTCTCTGAGGGACCGACCAGCATCAAAGAATGACCCAATAACTCCCTCCCCCTCATCTATACATTGTGGCGTGATCTATTTAGAGCAGCTGCTGCAGCTTTAGTTTGGCTTCTTGACCTCACATGCTCACCCTCCTTGCACCCACAGAGGGACTGCTATGCGGCGTGCACGCTAGGAGCTGGCACCCAGGCTGACGGTCGCCGCTTCGATGGGCAACACGAGCATCACAGAGGGCAAGACTGCCCTGGCAGTGGGAAGCACCTCCATCGCCAGGGGAAAGACTACTGTCTCTTTAGGAAATTCCTCAATTTTCAGGGGAGTGACCACCACCTCCATGGGAGATTCCACCATCCAAAGGCAAAAGACGACTGTGGCTCTGGGACGGGCCAGCTTCAGCCGGGGAACCACCACCACCTCCATCCGCAAAGCTCTGACGGGCAAGCGCAGGAACACCTAGATGGAAACGTCGCCTGAAGCCGGCACAAAGGCAGCCAAGCAGTTCAAAAAAGACTCTAACAATGAGTGGAAAACTACATTCACATCGAGCAAGACCTCCTTTACCAAAGGCAGGTTTTTGATCCAGAGGACCAAGTACTTCATCTCCTGGGGGAAATCCGCAATCTCCTGGAGCAGAACCATTGTAACTTTGGGCAACGCCGGCACAAGGGTGGTAAAGACCTCGGTGACACGAGGGGAGACCACGAGCTCTCTCATCACTCTGACCTTCACCTATGGGACCAAGTCAGTGTCTGTGGTCAAAACCACCCTTGTCAGGGGCAAAGAAACACACAGCAACGTCTACTGGGACTTCCACACATGAACCCTGCACACAGTTACAAAGCCATGGATATGTCTATGTGGTCAGTTTTAGAAGGTCAGTAGCAACGGTCAATAAAATATGAGCTGCTATGTTTAAGAGGAATTGTTCATTGCAAAATAAAAAAATAAAAACGTAGCTTCCGGCATTAAAACACACACAGAGCCGAGATGTCAACACGCAACATGCTGAGCGTGTCGCGCAAATGCGACATCGATGAGACGAGTCTTTATGGTGCGTTGACTTGGCAGGGAGGGGAAGCGTGAACAGATGTGTGTGATCTATGCAGGGACACAAGAACACGTGTTATTTTCACCAACACTGCCCTCCAGTCTTCTGCAGCCTTCAGCTGTAGGGGTTCTGCACATTCCAGCGAGTCTCCCTGCATTCCTATAACTCGGCTGCTGTACATCAAACAACCAAGCTTATCCTCAACCCAACTGTAAAAGTGGATTAATGTTAGTGCTCATAAAGATAACATGTCTAAACGGTGCTTTGGCTGATTATTTTGTATGCAGTTACTGATTTTTATTGGGTGCTTTAAGGTTTTTGTCACAAAAAATAAGCATATAAATAGTTGTTGCGACAATTTATGGAACCACGTGTATTTGCAGGCACCTGGTCAGTGGAGCAGGTGGAGCAACCACTCCCCCATTTATTAAAACGGAGGTGAGAAACGTAAAAATATATAGTTTTTATTGATAGTAATTTCTCGTTCTTAGGTAAAAAAAAATAAATAAATATTAAAAATAATCACTATGTTCTACTCCCCCCTCCCTTGGCTTTGAGTTGGTTCAGCCCAACCCTGGTATCTGCTGCTGTTCAGCTCTTTAGATGAGGACAATAAAAGCTAAGTTGCTTTTTAAAAGTTCAAAGCTGCATCATTATCTGGCTACGACTCAGACAGAATAGAATAAGTACATCAAGTACTATCCTGCTATTAGGGAGTTTAAGACATCCAAAAGTTTATAGTTGTAATATAAAGTAAATCCCTTAAGCTGATCTTAATGACGTCAACCAGAAGCTCATTTTGACGAGTTGAAAAAAAGTCGAGGCTAAAATCTGACAAATATGGCCAAAAATGATGTAAATGCCTCCTAGGGCTGCACAATATTAGAAAACCTTCCCATGTGCGTTATTATCATTTAATACTGGAATGAAGATTTCAACCCAGATCCTCACTTTCTCTTCTGTCATCTGGAACAGACGTGAGCTTCAAGGCCAGTGAGAGTTGACCAAACATATCATTAGCGTGCAAATGTATGGGTTTATGAGGGTGATTCAAAAAAGTTCAAGACAAAAACATCTGGACTTTATTTATAGCAGAAGATGTTTCACTTCTCATCTGAGGAGCTTTCGCAATTCAAAGAGCAGAGAGTGTGGGGTTCAAGTTATAAAACTGAGGTGATCTAGATACATATGCAGATTGCCCTCTCGCTCCTCACAATAGGGGTTCGTTCGGGTCTTTGTTAGTCTGACTCACAGAGGAGCCACTCTGGTCACATGGATGAAACTCATGGTGTGAAAATGACTGGGTATCAGGCCTAAAGTTGAATTATAAGTTGTTGAAATCTAAGACCTCCTCCTCTGTTTAAAGATGGTTGCTCTCGTTTTACATAGATGGTTCCTTCACCTCCCTCTCAAACCATTTGTCTTTTCAGTCCAAATTGTGAACATTTTGATCCTCAAATGAGGGTCCCTTATCCTTGAGGTGCAGGTGAACAGCTGATTCTTGTCCTGGAGAGCTGGCTGTCCTGTGTTGAGCCATGCGTCTGTGAAGTAACGTTTGGTTTCTCCATTATAGAGATCTGGACATTCCTCGTTTCAATGGACTGCATACGCCACACCACTCTGTTTGTGTATGGGTGTTTTGTCCTTAGGGTGGACCAGCCTCTGTCTGAGGGTCCTGTTGGGTTCAAAATGTTTTGTTTTTTTTTATTTACCATGTCCTGGATGACTGAGAATCTTCACCAGTTTATGATCTTGGTTCACATTATGAGGAACTGGAGGTCTGACCCTCATAACCGAAGCTTCAAGCCTCACAAAACAGGTAAACATAGCAGGTTGGGGAACTGAAAGAGTTTCTGCACGCATGAGAGGTGCAATCAAAAGCTTAGTCCATGCGGAGGACATGAAGACAAACTGACAGTGCAGCTGATTTTACATACAGTGCACACAGCTGTACACACAGACATACAGTCAACAGGGAACAATGGTTCAGAAGAAAGTGATGTCACCGCAGACTGTCCTCTTTGCAACAATGTCTCCTTCAACCGTTTGGTGTCGTCGTGGCGATAGGACAATTGCTCCACTGTCCGAGTCCTCCCCGATAGGCTGCGGCCACCTACGGCTGCCTCTGTCCATTCACAGGACACATGGGTGGTATGTGGCCTTCCAGAGCCCACGTATACCAGCTCAACGAAGACATTATGTGACACGGGGGTCGCGCTGTCCATGCTTTGCATTCTGGTCTGCTCTGGATCGCGGCTGATGCTTCTAACAGCTCCGAGGGCTCGCAGGGAAGGGTGCGCTGCATGAGTGTGTGATGCTTTGCGTCGTGTGAGTCCAAAACCCCGTCACCAAATCTGGGTCAAGAAGACGAGCTTCTCCTCAATGGGCAACACCAGCTTCACCGAGGGGAAGACGGCCTTAACGCTGGGCAACACCACCATAAAGCGGGGAAAGTCCAAGCTTGCCATGGGGAACTCCTCCATCACCAGAGGCAGGAGCACGACGTCCCTGGGCTCCTCCACCATCACCAGCGGGAAGACCAAGATCTCCCTGGGCAGCGCCTCCTTCAGCAGAGGCACCACCACCACCTCTTTTCGAAAAGCTCTCTTCCCCAAACGCAAGACAAAGACAATTTAGATGATCAGGAGCCACAACATGGGGTGAGGGGAGAAAATGTCACAAGAAAACAGCATCGTTGCAGATCGGATACAACAACAGCATCTGCACAGGGTCTATTCCAACTCAAAACTGGATTAAATTCATATTTGGAGCTTTGACTCTGGAATTATCAAGGAAGCAGGTCAGTGGCATTTGGATTCTGTCAATGTTTTCTGCAAATACAGTTAGTCTGGTTTTTACTTTTATTTTTACAGCTCATTGTTGTCAGTTTTAATTTCTGCAAAAAATGCACTATAATCCTCAAAAATCCTACGGGGACAGGATGCAAGTGAACACACCTATTGTTTGTTACAGCAGGGATTGAGGAACTGTCTAATTTAAAACTTTCAGAAATCATCTGCTTCAGGATGCAGACAATCCTTAAACATGACATAAAGAGAGACCAGAAGATTAAACACATTTAAAACCTAAAATAATCAGCGAAGAGACACAAACCAATAATATAAACTTAACATCAAATGTTCCTTTTGACAGAAAATGCATGAAATGATCCAGTTACTCATTTTATGGAGAGCTCATTTGTGGAAAATTAATTAAATAATGATCAAGATGACCATTTGCTGGTAACTAAACTTCCGCAAAAGTCCTGTTTGACTTGACAACACATTAGTCGTGTTATCTTTCAAAGGAGTTTGCAGCAGATGTTTCCTTTGCATCTGGAGGGGACAACCACTTGTGGGCCCTAAATGCAAATGGATGGAGTGGAAAAGCAAAATGCTCTTAGTACGATTTGACACCGAAAAACAACAGCGTGTCTTTCTGACAAGCTTCTTTTGTGCCCCCTCTCATTCAGCCTGGATCCCAGCCAAGCCCACTCAGCTCCTTTAAATGCCCTCTTGTTCTCACCTCTCCACTGTACCAACGTAAACAAGTTTTAGGAGAAGCTCGACTGTCTTTATCAGCGGCGACACCTAACCCAAATACCGAAACGCCTCACGTCAACGCTGACCTGATTTTTGTTCTTCTCACAAACATTTCCCTGATTCTTTTTTCTCCTTCTCTCTCCTCTTTTTATTCTCTTTCTCTCCCTTCAGTCTCGGCCTAACCAGCAGAGTCAGATGACATCTCCTCTTTGTGCAGCAAACAGCCAGAACTGAACTGTCCAAGGAGGAGTCCTTTCCTGCACTGGACTTACACAAAAAGACGAAAAAAATCTGGGTTCCCTGATAAATATGAAGATACGAATAATAGTTTAAGCCAGAACGTAGAAGTTGTAACTATGCCAGGGCGTGTCCATCGTCCCGGTGAAGAAGCGTCAGAGCAAAGTGTTGAAAAGTCGGCGGAGGTGACGAGGGATCAGAGAGTGAGATGGACGGGAACGTTGAACTGATAAACACCGACAGCATAAATCAGATTTATGAGTATAAGAGGGGGATTTAAGTGAATAATAACAGGGTGCCACATTGTGTTTAAAGCAAAAAGAACAAGATGATCAGCTGATTAAAGCCCAAATGTTTTGTCCAACTTCTGCTGTAATTCCAAATACTTGAAAACGAGTGCAGGATGTAAGAAATCATTAAAAAAGTACAACCCAAACGTGCTAATTTAGAGGTAGGTCCACACTTTTACTATTCTTCTACGCAAGGTGAAAGATGCAGACAATGGAGCCTTTAAGAAATGGAAACACGTTTGATTTGTGTGGAAAATATCGTCTCCTCGGGAGCCACGCCCCAGAAAAGCTCAGACCTGATCATTCAGTAACATCAACCTCCAGCCTTTCCCTCCATGTTGCTTACAGGAAGTAGCTGAAAGACTTAAACTTCACATCAGATCTGTCTCACCCGTCTCATCTATTCTTTCTCAGGTTCAGCGAATCCACAGCAGCATTCCTCCTGCAGCCAAACAACCAACAACGGCATCTTACCCAGACTAGAGCGCCAGAGCAGCCCGCTTCACATGCAGAACCTCTACTAAAAAAACATTTGGTCAAACTGAGCTCAGATAACCTGCATGTAAATTTCCACTTGCCCAGCCATGCCAGGAGAAAACCTGTTGCTAGTGGCAACAGAGGATAGAGTCTGTAAATCACAAAGATGCTGCTGTCAACGTGGACATTTTGTGCATCAGCAAATAATTTAGCAGCCATTAAATTCTTCTAGACAAAAATTTAAGTTTGGTCTGAAACTACACACTAAAAACTGCTGGGTTAAAACTAACCCAGCGCTGGGTTAAATCTGGACCAAGCCAACCCAGGGAAATTTTAATTTTAGCAGTTATCCATCTGGCTCATAGCCTACACAAAGTTGAGTGGGGTTAAAACTACAGATTCCTTGAATTAGAGTAACTAAAAATTTAAATAAAACACCAACCTGGATCGGTGCTAGCTAGCTAGTGCTAACCCCTATTAGCAGTGGTGCGCACAGAGCCGCTAATTCACAAACAAACTAATAGCGGAACACATTTTTCGTTTAGCGGATTAGCGTTTCTGCTAACTTTGGAAACTGTTACCAGGATTAGCTTCAGCTAAATTAGATTTCGCCAACTTTAAATCCGCTAACAAAATTCACAAGCTTGTTCCTGTCGGTTATGGGCGTGTCTCGAAGAGTCCGTTAGGCACGCTATTGGCTGACTACGTGAACACGTGACAAGACGTGATTGGTCGGCGCAGCTTCAACTGGAAGGAGACGAAGACGTGTGACGCAGACTGACAGTTGTCTTAGCGGTTAGCTGTTTAGCGTTAGCTTCTGCTCATTTCTTTTACCTGTTTAGTGGTTTAGTTTTAGCTAAGCTTATTTTTTTAATTAGTGGAATATGGGTTAGCGAAGCAAACTTTTTGGTCAGCTGTGCCCACCACTGATTATTAGCAACAACAAGTTAGCACCACCTAATGTTATTTTAGGAACTCAAACTCATTGATTAGTGCAAACTAAAGTTAATAACAAGCCAACCAGGTTTAATATCTTTTTACCATCTTTACCCATCACTTCTTAAAGCAGCGGTCCAGTCAGGTCCAGTTCGATCAAGTTCTGGGTTAAAATGTTAAACTGTGAATAACTGACACAGATCATCTCCGAACCAAACACTGGGTTAAACTTTGTGACCCAACATTCGGTCAAACCAACAGCAGCTTAAACGCACCAACTGGAGTTATCAAAATGACCCAGCAGTTTTCAGTGTGTGCAATTTTAAGGTTTTAAAAAAACAAAGCCATTTTTTAAAAAACAGATTAGTATTTTATTTCATTGTCAATTTTAATATTACTCTAGTTTAGTCAATTTAGCCAGCCTTGACTTGGACCTTGTGCAGAAACTTCCCCTCAAATGGTGCAAACGTTTGATCAGCTTCCAAGGTTGCCTTGATGCAGATTTGTCTCTAATTATTGTGATCTGTCCTCTGAGTACAACAGTGTTGCCAAGGAACTGAAACGCTAAGCAGAGATTAAATAAGCTCCTGTGCCTGGTACTGGTGACCCACATTGTGCCAGATGCCAAGTTGTTTTGTCAGTAATTGAAGGAACCTTGAAAAAAATAAAAGGACATGAACTTTTTCACCCCAGAACTGAACAAAAACATTTCTCACCCCCACAAAAAAATGTTAAAAACTGAAAATGTTAATCTCTGTGTGCGTGTGTGCTGATCGTATGTTTTTACAGTGACGGAACAGACTTTATATGCACATGTATTAGAATAAATAAAAGCTTGGCCTGGTGCACTAACAGCTCCTGTAGTCAGGTAGAAATCCAGCTGTGGAAACATCTGTGTCTCAGTCAGCATGTCAGAGCCTGGATCCTGGAAACTGCATCACAGCCTGCTTTAACGCCCGACCGGAGGTCCGCTGCTGATTCAGGACGCCCCGCCGCTCCCTCTTTAAGGCTGAGCGATCACATAACAACCCGTGACTACTTGTATCGACTCAGAGCACAATGGCATTGTGGGTAAAATAAAAAAAAAGGTCAGAATCATGATGGATGAGAAGATGGAGCAGCGACACAGACACTCCTGGAGGAAAAATCGCCTTCAAGTGAAGTTAATCCTTAAAAAAAAGAACAAATGACTGTAGTGAGCATTACTGATAGGACGCTGTTTGAGATTTATTCATGTCTTGTCTGGTTTGTTTGTCATTAAAACAATTTAATTTGTCTCGGATCGGTCAGGGAGAACTGAAAACAAGCGTTTTTTTTTATGTCTCTGTTAATCTTTCTCCGTGTTTGACGTCCACTGTGGGAATTGTTTTTTTTTTTTTATTATTTTGCAGGCGTGCTCTGCTTCGTGTCGTGTGTTTCACCTCTGTACACAGACAGAACCTTCAAAATAAAGGAACTGAAATAAAAGTGTTTGACCGTGTGTATAAAAAGAGTCAGAGTGTTATTTTTATCTTTGATTTCTGATTTTTACACAAAACAGATTTACTGTCACAGATATCAGCGCAGTAAAATAAAATCAGAAAGGTTAATAAAAAGTATGACGCTGCTTTTTTAAAGATTTTTTACTAGAAGTCAGTTATAAAATAACGTACAGTCATTATATCTCGCTAAGACGTTGCATTAAAATACAGTAATTTAGTTTTTGGTGGCAGAAGAAGACAATGAAGCAGGATAACTAAACAAAGTGAATAAAAAATTTAAAATAAATCCTGTAAAAGAAAATGATTTTGAAATTTGAATTTAGTAAATCTTTAATATATAAATTCCTGCTCTATTTCTTTGAACTTCCGGAGGAAAAAATAATGTATTTTAAAAACAACATATTAAATAGTGATTTAATCATAAAGATGTTTTAATTTCTGCACATAATTAAAACATGATAACAGTTTTATTTCCTCTTATACCACAAATTAGCATTGATCAAATACAATGTGGCTGTATCTTAAAGAGATTAATCAAAACTAATTCTTACTAATTTTTACTCATATTAATTCAGGAGTATCAACATAAAACTGCATTAACTGAAGGTTAACATGATGTTAAATGACACGTTGAAGCAGAAACACGTGAATACTATGAATAATGTTAATAAAGAACTGGATATGTAACGATATTATTTAATTCAAATATAATATTAGAAGTATTATTTAAAATGGGTATAGGTGATGTTTATGAACACATATAAATTGTCCTTTAAATAAAAGATTCATACATTTTTAAAGGTACTGATTTGCAAACCTGTAATCAAAATATGAAAAATGCTTAATATGAACTATATAACACGGTGTAGTTTGAAAGAGTTTACTCTAGTGGTTTGGCAAAAATATATTGATAAGCAGCTTCGGATGTTATCAGCCATTAAATGGCCGTTATTAGTTGTTATCATCCCCGTATGTAGCCGTCAAACTGTCCCACCTACCTCCTAGTAGGTTTAAAGGAACATCATTATTGTTGATAATAGGCAGCGTTGCACGGGGGTAAACCAGGAAGTGTCTTTTTTGTTTTTTCCAGCTTATGTAACCCTTTTCATAAACTTACACCTGACCCAGAGGACCACCCCTAAACGAAACCTCCTTACCCTTGTGCCTAAACCTAACCAAGACCGTAAACCTAACCGCCAGACCCTTTACTCTAAACCTAACCACGTGAAGCTGTTATGAGCGCTAACAAAGCTAAAAACAGAGCCTATTATCATAAATAACTTTAAACCCACTAGGAGGTACAGGAGGGGCAGTCTGGCCGCTACATATGGAGATGATAACAACTAATAACGGCCATTTAATGGTTGATAACATCCGAAGCGGGTGTGAAATGTGGGCATGCATTCAACATAAACAAATCCTTTTATTCATATAATTTGTTCAGCAGATTTGAGTGTCTTTTTTCTTTCAATGCGTCTCTCGGACGGAGCTGCAGGACAAAGCGAGTGCTGTTTTTCCTCTGATCGAGCATCTCCGCTGTCTTTGAGAACATTAACGGGACATACGTGATTTTCTGTTCATGCAGACCTGCTCTGTTTGCTGCATGTGATGAGAAAAAAAAAAAACATCGCATACAGAAAGTGTCACACCGTAACTTCGGAATTTCACATTACTCATATCGTGAAAAATGTGGGAGTCAGTCTCTGATAAATTTAAAATATAAATTCCCCAATTAAAAATGATGTTAATGTTCCTGTTCAGTGCCCTGAGACGACTCCTGTTGTGACTCGGCGCTAAATAAATAAACTGAACTGAATTTTAGTGTAAATATGTCGCGACACATCAGCTGTCAAACTTTTCAGCTCCTGCATGTGTTGACCTATTTTCAGTCACTTTGGCTGTTTCTGTAGATAAACAGACACGTGGTAGTTCGGCCACAAATTTTACTGAAATGACCAACAATATGAGGAAACAGTTGTGTGATTTTTGTTTTTACTTTATGATTTATTTGATTTTTTTACCAGTCTTCATGACTTGGCATTGAGCATCTGTAAAGTGTTACACTGCTAGATCTTCTCCAGGAAGTGACAACAGATGGGTACGGGGGTACTAGTTGGCAGAGGTACAAACTGACCAGCATCCTTTAAAATAAATCAAACAAACTCAAGGCCTTAATTTGATACTCAGAATCTCCAATTATCGTTCAAAAATGACTTTATCTGCAGAGACATCTTAACTTTGGAAACCGAAAGGACTTCTGGATCATCTCCAGAAAGCTGCGTGAGCTGCTTCTCCTCTCAGCTCAGATGTTTAAAGTCTCATCCTTTCTGAGGAGAGGAGAGAGGCTCCACATTTAAACCTGTGTCTGCACTCGGGAGTCTGGGTGAAACAGAAAGGAGGCCCAGGCTGTGGGGAGGAGTCCTTGCTCAGCTGTCCTTGGCCTGTTCGGACAATGGGTGGAGAGGAAACCAACCTTCAGGTGGGATTTATCCTCAGCAGTAAAATGACCACGTTAGCCCCACCTCAGGGGACATTCTTATCATCTGGAGAAGGTTGTCTTTAAACAAGAAATCAGACAGGTGAACACTTTAAAGCATGCCCCACTTATGATGCTGGGCTATAAATACACAGGACACCAAGTCTTTAAAGTTGTATTTCAACCAAGTGGAACCTAGAAATAAAAACTAATATAAATTAAAATGACAGAGCGCAATCAGATCTATTCTCCTCCAGCTGATGTAAGATGAGGGATGTAAGGTGAAAATGCACCTTCAGTTTCTTCAACATTACTCTCCCGTCATTTAGTTTCATTAGGCTAATCAGCGTTGGGGATTTTTAAACCCATGGTGGTCGGAATACTTTAAATCAACACAGAGCGTCGAGGTCGTGACGTGTACCTGCAGACCGTGATGAGGTTTTTTCGCTCCACCGCCACGCTCCGAGCAGACGCCTTCTTCGATGTCAGACCCATAGCCATTGCTGTCTGAATGCAGCCCGACTCCATCCAGCGGCGGTCCCGGGGCCTCTTCGGGAAGCGTGCCCAGGCCAGGACCTCTCCCTCCGCAGGCCCTGCGTCCTACCAGCACCCTCTGCGGGGAGCCAAGGATGCTGCGGCTGAGGCTGGAGGAGGACAGAAGGTACCAGGGTTAAGCTACACTAGCTAGCAAAACAATATCCGGTTTGAGATTTCAAAATAAAACTATAACGACGAATTAACGCTACGTCATAATGGGAAAACGTCAGAATCGGGACTTTTATTTTTCTTGTTCCGGTTTAGTTCAGAGTTAAAAGGTGATGCCTTCAAGGACCGTGTGTAAACAAGTATAAACGTACATGTATGAAAGGCAAACACGTTTAAACATTGTTAAACATTTGCCACTGTCAAAAAACACCAATAGCATTTTGAATCATTACTGTAGAAGTTGGCAAAATAAATGGTGTGAAGCTCGTTAAAGTGTTTAAATGTTTTGTTTGTTATTTTATTGTTTTGTGTTACAACTCAGAACATTTAAACTATGTAGGAAATCGGGGGAAAAAAGTTGTTTTTGTTTGTTTTAGACAATTATTTTGGTACTATAAGGAGTGACAAGGATAAGATTAGGAATGAGATCATCAGAGGTTGAACAACTGGGAGATAAAGTTAGAGAGGACACACTGAGATGGTTTGGACATGTCCAGAGGAGGGACAGTGGGTCTATTGGTAGAAGGATGTTACAAATGTAGGTACCAGGAAAAAGACAAGAGAAGATATTTGGATGCAGTTTGAGAGGACATGAAAGTAGTTGGAGTGAGGACAGAGGATGCAGAGGACAGAGGGAGATGGAGGAGGATGACTCGTTATGGCGACCCCTGAAGATGGAAAAGCTGAAAGAAAAAGTTTGACAGACTTTGCAAATTGTCTAAAGCGGTGTGTCAATGTGAATATGTATCTGATTCGTTTAGGAAAAGTTGTATCAATGTCCTCATATTGTTCACAGGTATTGGAGATTAACCAAATAATAATTTTAAGTACAATCATTAAATTATGCCAAATATAGTAAAGATAATTACAACAAAATCATGCACCATCTCAGCTAAAGGTGGATGGATTTGAGAAAAATGTCCTTGTTATTTTTACAACAATTAGTCCCATATTAGTCCCAGATCAATATTTTAAAGATATATTTTATTTATTTGTGTCTCATTGCATTTCACAAATAATATCACACTTTGAACAAAAATATTTTGGACGTACCTTTGAAACTGGCAAGAATTAAATGTGGAAAGCTGTAATTCTCCTCCTGACCAGAAGAGGGGGCGCCAGCAACATTAGCCGGCTCTGTTTCACTCCAGGCCAGCAGGGGGCGCTGCGAGCACCGCTGATCAATTAGCAAAAACAAAAACATGGCGGAATCAGAAGAGACGAAAGCAGCTTCTTGTACGTTTCTGTTCAAAAAATCTTCCAAAAAATTTTCCGGACGGAAAAGAAAAGCAAGCGACAGTGATAAAGGTAGGGAATAGTCGCTTATGTATCCCTTTTGCTGATTTTTGTGAAATGGCTAATGAAAGTGACGCTGCAGCTGCTGCGATCTTTTCACTTTTAAAATCCTAAATAATAGCATCACCGTCGTGTTTATTTTGGGGCGTTTCTTTTTTTTAAAAAATATGAACAAAATCCTTAAAATATCCTTATCCGTTCAGTTGATCCTTGAACGTGCGATTTTAAGTAATTGGTGAAACTGTTTAAATTAGTTCTTACAGAAAAGAGTTGTGCTGCTTTCAAGTTTCCACGGATTTTGGAGTTGTGTCATATTTGGACAATTTGCATTTTCTTGCCTCCTTATTTTAATCCAGTCATGTAAAACATTAAAAACTAATCAGGATTTTTTTAAAGTACTCATTCCAGGCTTGTTTAATAATAATATACAAAAATGTGTATATTTAAGACAATAAACCGTTTCCCTCCCTCTTTTTCAGACAGTGGCAGTGACAAAGATCAGAGCGCTGTTGTCAGAAAAGGCAAAAAAGATGCTCGGGTCAACCCTATGATTCAAAAGGTACAGCTATAAACATAACATAAATTCAGTTTTCATGTAATTTATTAAATTGACTTTATTTCTTACTTTTGTCCAGACAAAAAAGGTAGAGAGGGATGTTGTGTCTTCTAGTGAAAGCGAAGATGACAAAGAAGACAAGATCACAGTTGCTTACAAGTCCACACGTTCAGCAGTGAGTTCAAAATTTTCCTCTTTCAATATTATTTTCAGTCAAAGTCATGGAATATAAATTAACCAGTTTCACTCCACAGATGCAAATGCCTTTAAAACAAAAACTAGGCCAGTCTATATAAAAATAAACAGAACTGCTTTTTTCTTAGAGTTTCTTATGTGCTGTTTAGTTGTTTATATGACATGTAAAGGGATGGTTAAATTTTTTTAAATGTCTAACTTTCTGGTGCTCCTATCTAAAAAATAGAAACCAGAGGGACCCGAGGACATGGGAGCAACTGCTACATATGAGCTGGATACAGAGAGAGACAAGGACGCCCAGGCTATTTTTGAGAGGAGCCAGAAAATCCAAGAGGTGGGAAATGCAATTTAATGTAACAGTTGAAAGCTAATCTAGATAAAAAGAACACTC